CGTGAACCACCCAGCGCTCGGTCGCTTTGCCGTGCGTGACATGCAGCAGAACGTGGGCATCGGGGGTGATCAAGTCCGTCACCCGCGAGCGACCAGTCCGGCCCGACGCTGTCGGCGAGTAGAAGTATTGCGTAGTAAAACGTTTTATGATCGACTTCAGTTCATCGTTGGTCATGGGCACATTACTCAGCCTGATGCAGCACGGTTGTCAGCGTGGACGGCCAGTGATGATCCTTCCAGAAGTGAAGCAGTTGGAGCTTGCTGCTGGAGTCCATGTGGCAGAAGGCTACCTGATAGAGATTGGACAGGGTGACTTGGTGCTGAGGTGGTAGCTCCATAGTCTCAGCCTGAATGAGGCCATGGAAACAGATATTGGGTTAGTAAAAAGAAGCCTCAATGGAATAGTGGTGATGGAGGAGGAGAAGTGAGGGGTGGAACCTTATTGCCTCAGGATGGTTAATGAGATCATTGAAGATTGTGTAGGCCTTTTTAAGTGCCTCATGGGTGACTGCTTGACCTTCCTTCTGCAAATCAACAATCAATTTTGTTAAATAATGTCCAGGAAAGAGCATCCAACATCCTCCTTCTCCTTCTGCTTCTTTCTTTTTAGTTCCTTCTTCTCACTCCTTCTGTTCATCATCTCCTCCTCTTCTCCTTCTTCTTCTGTTTCTGTTTCACTGCCATGACCTTCCTGATCTGATCATCCTTGCTGGCAAAGTGGTCTGGGTTGGGGCCTTGCTGCAGCTGAACTGAATTGCAGATGATGAAGTTGAGAGAAATGTGACCTCCTACATGGAGGTTCAAAAGATACATCAAGAGGTTTGCTGTGCATACTCCATACTTGGTGTTTTCAAGTGTGTGCTCAATGGTACATCACCACCATGCAGAGAAAATAAAGAACAACTGGCTAACCCAGTGTCTTGAATCCTCACATAACGCCAATCTTTTCCCATTACACCACACCAAACTAATGTGACCTTGACTGATGTAACTGGTATCAGTTACATCATATCTCTCATTATGGTGGTATTTTAATCTGCCAGCTGTGAAAGTGATGTCCAGTGATTTTGAAAAGTGATTTTGTGAGTTTAAGCCCATATAAATGGTTTGGACAACACAAAAATGGTTTTAATTTAAAAATAACAAGACAAAATTGGGAGTATCTGAGGCAGATGCAAGCAGCATGGGTGAACACCAAGGTCTACTTCTACCTCAACCACCACTATGGCAACCACCAACCACCACCAGCAGCTGCCAGGAGTGGACCAACCAGTGCTGTTCACTTCTTGTCATTGTTCTGGTCACCCTCATGCTCATCTGCAACTTATTGCAATTCCATGAGGCTGCCATGTGATGCACCAACACACAGTGCACATGCATGCTGCTCATCAAGAGGAATAAACACTCCTCCTTCCCCAGTAGCTTCACTGCCAATCACCTGCTGCTGCTGCTTCCTCTGCCCCACATCAGAGCCAGCACACAGGATTCTCTCTATCTGTATCTTTATCTCTATCTCTCTATCTCAATGCCCCTCCATTAGTGATGTGGCCCAATGGGCAACACCAATGGAGGGGTGGGGGGGAGGGTGTCAGGCTCCCCCTTTGATCCAATGCACAGATTTCCTTTTCTTCTGCTCTCCTTTTTTCCTTTTTCCCTTTCCATCAGTGAATGTAGACCCTTTTTTCTTCAAGCCAAGCCAAGGAAAGATTTGGGGGGAGAGAAAAGTATGTCTTTGCTCTTTTGCAGAGAGGGCTGAAGAAAACATGCAGAAGAAAACCGTGCTGCTGTGCTGCTGATTATGATGATGATGATGTGGTGCTGTGCTGGTGGTTGTGGTGGGGGGGGGGTGAAATCCAGAGCCATTGATGACAACCATGCCAACATCATCATTTGCTTACACACCATGACAAAGGTCCACAGGATCTTCAAGCATCATGGTGGGGATCTGCAGATGCTGCTGAATCAAAAGAGGGCTGCACACATGACACAGAAGCATGGTGTCCTTGGCATTGCAGTCCATCAACATCAACAGCTCCCCTCCATGCATTGCTCACCCTTGTGCTGCCTGTGTTTCCACTGATCTCTCCCAGTGGTGTTGACCACTCAAGCACTTGGGAAATGAATCTGACTGGCCAGAGTGAATTGCCAATCTCATCTGCACTATACCTGCCAAGCAGCCCACAGCAAAGTAACTCATTTAAAAACTCACCTCAATCAATCAACAGCTCCACATCATAACAACAACAATAAGAACAGGCAACTGGCCATTAAGAATATATGCTGGGCTTTGTGGAGTGGCAGAAGGAGGGTCTGAGCTTGATTGGTGAGGCCAACTGTGGACCATCTTGTAAAAGTCTTCCCTGTTGGTTTTTTATGATTTCCTTGCTGAATTTTTGTGATTTTTTGGCCACAAGCAATTTTGCATCAACAATTTGTAAGGCTCTTGTTTCAATTTGTAAGTTGCCTTTTTTCAATTTCTATGTGTAGTGCTGGAGGATGATTGTTCTTAGAAGTTGCAGGTATGTGTTCATGTAAGCCACTTTATGCCAAAGAAAAAGCACTCAGCAGAGGTCAAGGCCCAGGCACCTACAAGAATAGCATCAGATTGTTGATGGATTTGTCGCTCCCAGATCCCAGGCTGTTCATGTTCACAGGCATGTGGCAAGTTCCTTCCCAGCATGAAGGGACTTGTCCCACACATGCTTGATTGCATGTACTCCCTCCATGCCTTGGCACTCCTGGTTGTTTGCTGGGAAGAGAAGGAACAAGAGGAAACAGAAAGAAAAGGTTGCATGAACAGGAAGGATACGCTTGCTTTGCAACGCGTGTTGCAAAGGGGCCGTTACCTTTTCTCAACTAAACATGTTCAGATTATTGCTTGCCCGTTATTACTGGCTTCCCTCGTAACCAATCAGCACAGACCCACAACAACTCGTTTCCAGCAGCAAACGAGAGGTACCAACAAACCCAGAGTTTCACTACCACCCAGCTGACTGCTGTCCATGGATGCCCCACGCGATGCCCAGTGGAAGGAGGAGGTGAGGAAGCGCCAGCAGCGACACCTGCCCGAACTAAAAGACGAGAAGCACCAGAAGCTCTTCTTCTTCACCAGCTACACGCCCTCACCCGAGCTCGCCGGTGAGCGCCACCACCAGACGCGCCGTCACCGCCGACACAGACCACAGGCCCCAGCGGCTGCCATAGAAGAAGTTGCCACGAGCGCCCAGCGCCGGCCGCAGCCCCAAGAGCCGCAGCGGATCGACGCGCGGGGGCGAAGTAGCAGCGCAGAGGTCATGGCAGTTTCGACCACGCCTCGGCCGTGGGCCTTCAAGGACCAGAGCCTCGACGAACATCAAGCCAAGGCCCTCGCCCGCTACACGCGTCGTCTACATTCGGGCCGACCTGGCCGCATCGCGTAACGAAGTGCCGCACCGGTGACTATGCAAAAGAAAAGGCTTGACTCCCTGTAACAACACAACAATTTATAAATTTATAAATGGAAACCCAATCCCCTCGCGCCGCTGGTCCAAAAAGAGCCGCAGAGAGGCGATGACAGAGAGCGAAGAACATGTTAAGATAAGAAGTCGATCGAAAGAAGAAGAGGCAAGACGTCGAGAGTTGGTTAGCTAACTAACGAAGAAGAAGAGGAGATGGCAGCGGATGAGGATGTGCGGGTGCGACAGCTGCGCGGTCTGGGCAACCTCTACATGCTGGCGCTCTGCCCCGAGGACACGCCCTTCACCCTGCCTGAACTACAGAAGCGAAGTCAGCAGGAGGCCAACAAGCGGCAGAGTTCGCCAAGATCCTCATCACCACCAACACAGAAGCACCCCCAACAGGCTTCTACTTCTTCATCTTCCTCTTCCTCGTCCTCTTCTTCGCCACCATCAAGCGGTGATGACGAACGAAGAAGACGGCGGCGCCTGCCATCGCTGGGACGACGCGACAAGGAGGAACGACGACAGCGACATCCGCCAGCACAAGCGACAAAGGCAGAGACGAAGAAGATGGCGAACAAGGACGCTGCGCGAGAGTCATGCGGCGCTCCTGCACTAGCCTTTCTCGAGGTGGACGTGCGCGTCAGCCAGGCCAAGGCCATGGCACGGCTCGCCTACGACTCCAAAGCGCCCAGCTTGTCTTTCCTCGGCTGAAGCGAACGAAGCATCGGCACCATCAAACCTCTTGTAGCGTACTTGTTAATATTCGATATATATTATATTAAAAAACAATATTGCCGTACCCAAGGAATGCTGTGCCCAAGAATAGAAGCGCAAGTACCGGCCAAACTCCCCCACCCTTTTCTTCCTCATCTTAATCTATCTCTGGTGTAGTCCTTCTCCCGGAGCTTTTTTGGGGGGCGCTACGTCCTCTTGTTTTTTGGGCCAGCTATTTAAATTTGTTTTTGTTTTTAATGTGTTTTCTTTTCTTTTCATTTTTTTTTCATTTTCGCGATTTCGCTTTGCTTGGCAAGCAACGTTGTCGACCCTCAACCAGTAAACGTATCCACGTTGAGACGCAACACCAACAAAGGCTTCAACTGGCGGGCCTTCTTGAGAGTGGGCCACAATGCAGGGTTCGCTGTACGTACTTACACTATACATGTTTTGAGGCCGTGGGAAACGCACTCGTAACAAACATCTCGCTTCTCTCCCAGAGATGGATCCACCAACTGGTTTGACGCGGTTGAGGAACAGGAGCCACCGCGAGAGGACGCAAACAAAGCGCTCGAGCGGCTACTCGCCGTACGTTCCCTACTCCGCCTTGATGCTTAGCCCCCCCCCAACACTACACTCGCCAGACTTTATATATTCCGCTCACGTTTGGCCGCACAGGAGCCCTTCGTTGGGTCAGACATCGTCAAGTATGTAGACCCT